AGATGGGTATAAGAGACAGAACATACATACAATACAAATATATATTTGAATAGTTTCGTATGATATAAGTCATATAATTCATCTTGTCAGATGGTCTTTAAGGCTACACCACCTTCGTTAGACCCACTCTTAAATATGCCTCTGCCGCTTTGGCTCCTCACACACAAGCCAACATCAATATACCTCTATATATATGTACACTTTTGTACATTATTCTTTTATCATTATTTTATAACATTATTTAATTCAAGATTTGAAAAAGATGACATTTATCAACTTTATGATGTTTTAAGAATTCCGCATGAAGGGCGATGCAAAAATGGATCCGTATTTGATGGAATTGAGGCATTTTGTATGTTTTTTTTTATCGTTTTGCGTATCATGTCGATATGCAGACATGGTTCCAAACTTCGGTCGGTCATAACAGAGTTGTTTTTGGCAACATGCAAAAGAATTATGTAAAATGGACATAAAAGAATTCATGGTAATAAATTTCAGTCTGCTGTCGCTCCGAATGGATTATTCGCAAACCTCGGCTCTTCAAATTATATTTGTAGCTAAAAATATTTGAATTGAGCATCTCTTTTACTAAATCATTGTCCATTTCTTCATCCCATCTAAATAGGAAAAAAATAAATTTGAATTCATTGAAAATTATTATAAATGGCATTTGTTGATAAAGTTTACTCAAGAATAAAGTTCCATTATTGCATTAGGGAGCCTCGCAAAATAAAGCAACGCGTATACGAGTGGACCACGCGATGCGATTAAAGGCAGTTTAATCCCATAGTTGGCCACGCGTTGGGATTATTTTCCTGGGCTACTCCACTTCGTAGTGGGGAATTGATAACAGGCTTAGTGTAAAAACCCAATTAACACAAACAAAAACGTCTCGTATAAAAATAAACGCTATTGGAAGTAACGCAAGCTCACGTTATATTTCTGAGAATTACATTAATAATTTATCGAGATTATCGTCACCGTTACGATCAAAACCAACAGACAGCAGAAATATAAAACTAGGAGCGGCCTAGGACATCGATATTATACCTCCATGGATAGGCCTAGGCTTTGGCTTACTCAGAAAAATTACGGAGTAAAATTAAAAATCGAAAACAGGCAATTTTTATGAATTTTTGTTAGGCCTAATTATATATTTTTACAGTCAGTCTTTAAAATTATCATTTCTTATATCGTTTTAGTATTAATTAAGATTATTAAATAAAACTGTCTAGGACGACAGACAGATATCGGTCTACTACAGTAGGCCTACATTCGATCATGAACTTAGGGTACACTTCCTTCAGTGTTAGCGAAATACACAAAAAAAATATTGAACTTCATATAACGTACCTTTATCTGATATAAATGTGAGCAGTTGTCCTAGGCTTATATGTTATCTATTTTAATATTGATTAATCTGGAACTTTGGTGGAACAGTATATCCATTGCATGTGACGAGAAACGTTTCAAAAAAAGCAAAAACAATCTCCAGCTAACAGTTACATGCACTGCTCTCACCCTTTTCTACCGATGAAACACATGTTTTGATGCGGCACAAACCTAGACTCTATTCTATTTCAATGTTGATTAATCTCGAAGTTTAGTGTAAAAGAATATATTTATTATATATGATTATCAGGCTCTTTAAAAAAGGTATTG